GAAAGGAAATTAAAACTTGGGTGGCGTTAGAGTAGGTACTATCATCAAAATTCACCTGATTCACTTACGAAAATAATGTTTTTCTGATCTAAGAGCTTATTATTTAAGATACCTTTTTTAGTTTAAGTCACTTTTTTCATTATTTGATGCCTATAGTTGCTTTTCATAATGGAGATCAAGTCATTCCTAATAAATTTCGAAAGTGTTTTGTTGCATGAAATCATCATCTCATCAGTAATAGTATGGATGTTATCCATCACATTGCAGCTGAGATCGTGTATATTTTCCAATATCTAAGTATAAAGTACTCTTAGAAGATTGACAACATCCTGTGTTTGTGCTGATCCTAGGCAGCAAATTATTGGGATCGCACTTAGCAAATGTGAAAGAGTACATGAATTGTTTGGCTACATTGATAGCTATCTAGCTGTAAGTGCTAATGTAAATCTGTCGATCAAGTATGTAATGTGATCAGTCGGCTGAATGACACCCTACTGGAGGCGCAATTGGTTTGCTGTTGTTGAATTTCTGAAGTGAATCGACAGAATGTTCTACTGAATAGCTTAGCAATAGATTCTCCTGTCTTCAGAATCACTTTTATACTTTCTGTGGATAAACTGTTCACGATATAATCTAGTCCCCTTCACAGATTTACCTCCCACTGTTTGATTACACACAGTGCAACCACTTAACTGGACACTAGAAGGGTCACTTTATGTATGTTGTATTCATTTACTTAGTCATTTTCAAAATTTAGCCAACAGCTTCATCTTTTTTCAAAATTATACTGCTTTCATTTCGCAGTCAGTAAATTGCTATCCCCTTTACCATTTCTCTTTTGTTTGATAACAACGTCAGTGTCTACTCCTCCCCCTTCCTAACTTATTACCATGTTATTTACATACATTCGTAAACAATGATGTAACATTTCTAGCCAATTTTTGTTACAGGAAGAAAACGAAGCAGCAACAGAGAAGAATACAATAGACAGTTTGTGAAAAAAAAACGCATAATTTTGTTACATACACTATTTTCAGTTGATTTAAAATTGTCGAAGGGTTATACCAGTACGAGAATCTAATCCATTGTGTATATTTTTCGTGAACATGAACACAAAAGTATATTCAGTGTCTATCAAGTGGACACGGACAAATTGTTTGCCGTTAAAGCGTATATATAAGTATCGAATGTAAGAATTAATTTGGATTTGAGCATATCACCCTCTCGCAAAGGTCTTCATTCATTTCTGAATACCACATTTCTTATTCGGATTAGTCACAATCATTATGAATTGTTTTCTTCTCTCTCATACATGACAATATAAATGAATTAGTAAACTCAGGTGTCATAGATGTCTTAAGTAAAGATGTTAACATAATTCCACATTTTCTGAACGCCTTGAAAAGTGGGGGAGCTTAGAACCTTATAGTTTGATTGACTTCAAGCAAATTATACCATTTGTTGCGTAGATGAAAGCTTCGAATCCATGTTCGAAACCAGTTATACTGCTCAACAATAAATTTTGTCTAACCTGCCTAAGAAGCATGATCACTGAAGGTTGAAGGCATAAAGAAGCTAATCAGCATTACCTTCGATGCATTACTAATATATTGAATGAAGAAAGTTGTAGTCAGAGAATGGGCTAATGACTGACCAAATTATTTGATGATCGTGACCAAGAGTTTCGATAGATAACTAGTGATCACTTATCTGTACATACGATAGTAGATGAAGTAGCAATTGGATAAAAAACAATTCAAAGTCGTTAAAAAAAATAACATCAATCAGAGAAATATTTGACCACTTGTTTAAACCGTAGATAAACTCTAGGCTTCTTTCACATATCCTACTAGGTGAAAGTGGTCATCATTTTGTTAGTTGTATGTAATTCTAATCGCATTTTTATAGTGGACATGCTGTTTTCATCTTTTTCTGGTTACTATCTAAACTTCCTTTTATTGTCTTTATTCCTCAGAAGTTACCTCTATCATTGTCATTTCCCTTCGGTATTTTTTTTATCGAAGTTTGACTACCTAGAACGAAACAGTATTTTACTACGTTGTTTTTGCCTGTCTATCTACCATTTTAGTTCGGTTTCTTGACCTAGCTAGCGTTTATGGACGCGTTCATTAAAATGCTATTTTTTAAATCAGTTCTACAATTATTAGTCTGGTAATACGTTTTTTTAGATCAGTCAACAAACAATGAATATCATTTAATATCACTAGTTTTCTTTTTATTTTCTGTAATTAGCAAACTTACCCCCTAAATGTTTTGTACTCTGCTCCTGGTTTTAGTATGTCTTCATGTGAAAAGTAATTATGATCAACTTTAGACTGGACATAGTTTATATATATATATATATATATATATATATATATATATATATATATATTAATGATGTCATCTAATCGTATGGTTAAATTCCAAGTTTAAAAAGCAACTAAATAACAACTTGAAATTTGACTGGAACAACTTTTTTTTTTAACTAAACGGTCAACTAATTTCGATGAGTTTTATCTGCTAAAAAAATCGTAGATACTCAGCTGTCACCTGAAGGGATTCATACATGACGAACTTGTAGCTGAGGCTTATGACCTCAACGGTAGTCATTTAGCATTCTATCCATTTGATGTCTGAAAAGTTTATGATCGAGTATCATTCAAAAAGTGTTTAGGTTTTCTAGAAAAATTTTTAAGACTTTAGGTTCAAGGGTTACTGCTAATTGCCTAGATATATGGATTCACTGTATACTAAAAAAAGACTTGAGCTCACTAGAACATTTTATCCGGTAGGGTCATAAAATTATTCCATCTTTTGAAGATTCCTGGAATAGTCGCTTTGATGAGCGAGTGAATATGCGAACTTGAGAATTTACTGATTTGTGACTAACTAAGTTTAATTATGTCTAACTATTTTACATTACTGAAAACCTATCTTCGATTTCTGCACGTGTTTACTGTTTAATATCGACAGTTGGTTATGTCTAGCTTTGTATTATCGTACTGTCTTAAATCATTCTACTTGCTTCCTTTGTGTGACATCTAACAGCTGGTTTCATAAATATTCTTATATAGCTCAGTTGACGTAATGTGACTAGCAGTCGACCATATAAATATCATAAACCTACAGAGAAACAGACAAGGTAAAGCTGTATACACAGGTGCATCGGCTCAAGTTGTCACACTTCACAACATTATACATAGAACAGGTGGATTCAAAACGAGTAGTATCAAAGTCAACAAATTTGTGTGAGAGAATTAACAATTTGAAGATAAAGGTTAGTCTTAATATTCAAGCTTTTGAAGATGCCAAGCAGTGAATACATCTGGATTATTGTGACCGATTTCCGACGATGTCACCGAGTCATCAACTACTGATACGTTTCATCTTGGGGACCCCAACCAAGTAGTCTACTTCTCCCCACACGACTCAGACCAATAGTCAGAGACTTCATTGACTAGTGTCATGTCTTAGTCTCTCCACCCTGAACCCTATCCCTACCTAATCCAACTTCCCTTGCCATGGCATGTTGAGGTAGGGGGTAACTCGTGATGCATAACACATATATAATCCACCTCAGACAATGAAGGTTTACATTCTCATCAATCGAATTACTTTCTTGTTTAGTATCCTTCGCCTGACCTCAACATTGCTCATACGGTGATTCCACCAAACGTAAGCAATGGTACGAAGACACCTATGATCGAAATCCTGTAATCGCTTCGTATCTTCTACTCTTTACGGCCATTTCTCGCAACCGTATAACCTGTCTACGCAAACACTAATATCCGTGCAAATCATTTGTCTGCATAATGGTCTCCGGATGTAAACATTCTCGTAATGAGGATATTGAGATGGAAACACAATCGTTTGATAAACTTTCAAATCTTTTTCCTTTGTTAGCTTTTATCTCAAGTCTCCAGCACCTATTAGGATAAGTCTGCTGCAAAACATTGAATCATTCTACCTGCAGTTGTTTACTAAGGTGGTAATTTTGATTTGTTTACCATCACTTATCTTCTATCACCCCACTCTCTCTTATGACTTTCTACTACTTTTGGTTACTTCTTTTTTCTTACTATTTCTCTATGTTTCATCTTGATATGGATTGTGGCAACTTGGACCGTTTCGCTGTAATGCTAGATCCCATGATGATATTGACTGGATGACTGACTGGCCAACATTTAATCTAATCCAGAAACTAAGTAAGGATGTCGAAACTGGAATTCGGGCACATATATATCATCTTCAAGCAGAAAACTTATCAGTATCAGTATTGCTGGTAACATATAAAAGTTGTCACACTTGTCACTTTTTAGTTAGTCGTCACATTATTAGCCATATAATCTGTCGTATGGCTAAATTGAATTGGTTGCGAAGAAACTGGTTTCAAATTGGTTCCTTGTTCCAACACAATCTGCATCTGAGTGATAATCTATACTCTTTTCAATTCAGCCTAACAGCTTAGTATTGGTTCGTACACCAGGTTATGAGCCACACATCTTGTGTAAAAATAGTAAAGTCATCAAAAACGTTCAATAAACTCACAAGGTGATAACGGCTAGAAGACCAACTTTAAGTTATCAAAAATCAATTCAACAAAGAAATGAATAAACTGTCTTAGAGAGATTACGACCAAGGCGAAAATGAAGGTCGCATGGACCTTTTTGAACGCAAAGACCAGGCTTGTATCATTGGATTGTCAAAGTCTTTGCTGGTGGCTAGTACGCACTCCCTTCGAAATATTCGACTCCACTTTATAAATGACTTTGAAAGAAGACTCTTGTGAAGCACAGTGACCAAAGTTAACCAAATGTTCAAGAATCAAGTTGTTGATGGCTTTACACTCTCGTTTAGATAACCATTTAGGATAGTGTTCGGAGATGTGTAGTTATCTTTCAGAAAATGAATCACTTTTAATCAGTTATTTAGTTTGAATATACTTCTCTTTATTTATGCTATACTGTTTTTTTGTATTTGTGTATTTATTTATTCAGGGTTTCTTTCGACGAACTGTTTTATCCAATGTACGCTTAGAGTGTTTAGGCAATAATGATTGCCCAATTACACCAGCTAATCGTAATATGTGCAAAAGTTGTCGATTTCAACGCTGTCTAGCTGTTGGCATGTCAAAAACCGGTTAGTTTATTTTTAAGTTATAATGTTTCTCCCTGTCTCTCCGTCTCTGATAAAATGCATTTGCTTTTTTACATAAAAGAAATTCTGGTTCATAATTTTTCGAGGAATATCTTTATTTTCATTAGAAAATTCTGATTGTAATCGTTCCCAACGTGAATATAATGAACTCAAAACAGTAGAAGACGGTTGTGCGAATTACTTTCGAATGAGATATTCAATAAGAATTTTAATTCAAATCTCATAGGTAGCTTGCACTTTTTCAAGCTTAGAGATATATCAACTTTTATCGTAATAACAGGTGTTGGCAGTTGCCAAACACGTAGAATAAATGTGTTTTTTTTGTTGTTATGGTTCAAAGTATGTCTCGTTCTAATGTCGGATTACCTGGATTGATCTGTTTTTTCGTCGTAATGATTCACGTGATACACCTGTTTACCAGCTTAAATGGTATTGTTCTGAAATTATTATAATGCTGAGTGTGTCATTTTTCATGATTTGAGTATCATACAGTTATATATATATATATATATATATATATATATAGTTTGTCTTCCCTTTCTCTTTTAATCTCCTCATTCTCTTTCGTCTTCTGAACTTCACTATCCTTCTTCTACTTTTATTAGTTGCGTGTATTTTTACTTTTGTAGTATTGAATGGAGGATGTTATTGTTTGAAGTTTCATGCTTCTGTAATTTTCTTCCTGTTTGTTGTACACCTTCGAAATTGAACTTTATCAGTCATGAATTCCATCTTATATACCCCTCCCTGTTGAATATGTAACGTTGGTTTATACAGGTTATCTATGGGGTGTCAACATGCGATTATGTTGATAAATATCAACAAATGTTATAGTATTTTTTTTATTAATATTTCCACAATGATTTTTACAGTATTTAATGGTATATTCATTTGATTTCAGTGTTTTAATAGAATATTACTTATCATTCAATCTTGAACTATCCACTCACTGTCCTTAAAGTATATGTAGGTGGAAAAATTCGTGAGTAGTAGTGTTTGATAGTCACTAGTTTTCGGATACAAGAAAAAGAGGGTTTCATCAATTGAATATGATGTGGTAGTGTTCACATCACCTGTGATTCCAAAAGTCATATATTTATTCAATAACTTATTCAAATGTCGCACTAGCTAATATCGAAGCTTATATATGGCAACAGAGGCCAATTGATTTCATAAAATATAGTGCACACCTAGAAATTACAAAATTGAAATAAAGTTAAAATTGATTAACTTTTCGGTTTCTAAGGTGGTCTAACTCTGTTCTAGTGATTTCATCAACTACTCTGCTTATATCTGTTTATATTTATAGGTAGCAATGAATGAAAATTCGTTATTGTAGATTATTTATGAATATCTGCATAAGTATCATCGATTATTGTCTATTGTATAGCTGTCTCGATATATACTATCATAAAGTCTTCTTAATCTGTGCTCTGATCTCATCAAGTTATCAGGCAGGTAATATATAGAATTCAACTTCCTCTATCTTCAAAATCTTTTTATTAACACTTTTTCTTATCAGCATTCCATGTGCAAAATTCACTATAATCTTCATTATCTACCTGAATTCATCAACATTGAATTATGCTTTTCAAGTTATCCGAAATTAAACTATCCATTTAGTAGTAAAAGTCAACGTAACTTTACAGTTTGTCTTTCAACTTACTAGTAATTTTTATGAGACCGAGTTTTGTTATGTTAGTGTTTTCAATTTTATATCTTATTGTAAAATCATTTTCGCATAGAATCACTATTCTTTGACTACGTCATTGTGAATAGAATTAAATTACACTACACTGGTTTCACCATCAAATAGTAGTATTTGATGGTGAAACCATTGTTCCATGTCTTGGTTAATGATCTATTTCGATGTTATTTCATACGCACGGTTAAACAGCTTCGATAACTTACTGACGAGTTATAGACATTGACGCATAAGAATGAAAGTCTTATATATATATATATATATATATATATATATATATATATATATATGAATGTTCGTATGCATCACTGTGACTTAAAACATTTTCAGCAACATGCATTTGCGTGTAATCAGGTAAAAAATTAATTATCGGAAGGAAAACAAAAAGAATCGCCTCAGAAAAAAGCTTTTTTTTTCTCATGGGACTAATGTTTTGCATTACTAGTAATAATAGTTAGGTTTCTTTTTCTCTGCCCACATCTTATTTTCAAAGCTGTTCATGGTATGTTTATCTGCAAAAGCGTATGTAACATTCAAACATATATCAGGTGAATAGTCATTCATTTTTAACCTGATAAACTGAATGCACGTCCTGAGTACATGTGCTCATCTTGTTTTAATGTATGTGTTTATGAATCATAGGATTAACACTCTCTTCTGTATAGTCAATGCACTTGGGGATAATTCACACCTCAAAGTGATGGGAATTCAAATATTAACTAACAATCAAGATCATCATTTCAAAAGCAAAATTCATCACTAACTGACAGGTGTTTGAAAACCTGAGAGCATCTATTTCAATCTAGCAGTACACACTTCCATCCATTAGACGACCAAACCCAATGAAGTCTCACGGTGAATACACCACTATGCAGCCACTGAGTTGTCACTCAAAAGTCTGAATTGTCTGACTTCTATCAGTTTACTATATAGCACTACTATCAGTAGTTAACCTTATCTTTTCAAGGTGTAATACGGCTATAATTCATTGAAGTTTGATACACTGAATTATGTGTTCGAGAATTGTTTCACCTTCTGAAGTTTGGACAGCTGGACAGTATCTTAAAGCATTATGCTTCATACTTTTATTGAATGTGGTTGCCGAGTTGTCAACTTCGAATTATTTTTTCATGTCTTGAGGCGAACATATTGATGTTGAAGCATTAGAATCCTATCAGGTTAGGTGGTAAACCTATTTGTTGTAGAATCGGAAATGTAGGTCGACCAATTTTAAGAATATCAGTATAAATGGAAGGGATTCACCATTTTTCTACTTGCATTCCTGTCTTTATTGAGTCAATGTTAACTTTTATGAGGCTGAATTCTTATTAAGTTGATATACTTTGTCAATGAAATATGTTTAAGTGAAATAGTTATCTAAAATCTAATAATCACATAATAGTTTGTATATTTGACTTTACTCCATACTTATTGTAGGACATCTAACCATAGTAGCTGACTCCTGGAACTGAAAACACATGGCATGGTTTGAATTTATAGCATCACGGTTTCAAACTGGACTTCACCTACCGAGGTATCAGCGGTTATTTGTGGCTCATGGCTTAGTAAGCGGATTTATGCATAAATACTAAGTTACCTGTTTATTTTTATAATTTTCTTCAGGAGTAAAAGTATACACTAATCAATTGTATTATGATCAAGTCCTTCGTGTTAATCGAAAATGCTTATTAATCCTTTGATGAGGTTGAACATCTAGTATTTCTCGCCCAGTAGCTTATTGATCTAGTGTTTAATTGAGGCCCTCTTCTTTTGCATGTATCAAAGTATTAGAATAACCCCCTTTTTTTGTTCCAGTCTATATTCTTGAGTCTCTTAACGAATACACAAACTTTGAGGTGATCAATTACTGTTCTCATATTTACTTTGTTTGACCAAATTATTGACTTACATTGAATGTTTCTATTTGGCTGTTGTATGTCTAGTGTTATTATCATTACTATTTGTTGATATGCTTGTAATTCTCCGTTGTTTTACTGGGTCCAATTGACCGACCTCTGTTGGCATATGGGCTCCTATGCGGATGCCTCGATATTGCCTGAATATTCATTATGATAATTTACTTGGTTGTGGCTAGCAACAAGATTCGCGCCTTCAGTGAGAACAACATCACTCGCTGGGTTGCAGTTTTCATCCAGCTGAAGAGTCCCAAATGGGACAGAACGCACATCCTAGATTTTTCTGCTAGGCGCAGCCAAGTAAATTATTATCATTATTATTACTGTTGTCAGATGACTAGTTTGTGGAAGTAAGTAGAGTTAGAAAAGGGTTAAACTAAGCACCAAAATGAACTAAAAAAAAAAGCAAACACGCCAACCTAAAATGTTATATCACTTCTTTTTTTTTTAATACTTTACCCAACTGTATTCTACTGATGTGATTTATTTCGATTTTCGTGGCTTTATTTATTTATTTATTTGTATCTTACATTCTCCCCAATCTTTCCTCCCTTTCTTTCTTTCGCTTTACTTTGTTCTTGTTTCCTACACATTTTTGTTGATAATATCCGTATTCTTCTCCGGTCCTACATAATGTGAGCGACTATTTTCCATAATTTAAGATTGAATTATGAGAATAGCTGTCATCTATTGTTGATAAGTTTATACATTTTCGGTATAGCTTACTTAGTGTATTTTTCGCTGTCTGCTTGTAACTGAATACTGTTTTTGTAGGTTTAGACACTGAAATTTCAAGCGTCTCAATCTTTTCCCAATTTAGTTCTGGCGATTAAGTAGTATTTGTTAACCTACTTATGTATTGAGTGTGTTATGTAGTTAAATACACTGATATTCATGTATAATTACTAGTTTGCATTACTCTGATGGTATTATTTCGAAAAAGGGACTACTGTTTAGTGAGAAATTAACACTTACACTAAACAACAGCTTTTATCAATCCAACTAAGGTGGTTTGAAGTATCTAAATGTCGTCTTGACTGCTGTTTTTATTACCTAAGCTAATTCAATCCTGCTCTCCGACTAAGGACAGTTGAGTCAGTTGTTGTTGAAATCTTATAATTAGTTGACGGTAAACTTCCAAATCACCTCATGAAAGACTCATTAATTATTTACATATTTATGTGTCTGGTGTCGATGGTCAGGTGTTTTTCTTAACCAGAACTTTCTACACTTCACTGAATGACTTCAGTTAAGTTATAAATATTGCTCCTGCTGAGTCTTCACTTTGAAATCATTCCATCTTAATTGTATCATGAATGAGTTCATTGGGTTTTTCTCGTAATGACCTGATAAGGTAGTAA